TGGCTCAGCAGGGAAAAGGGCCGCAGATCCTGTTCGTCACCCGATGCGGAGTTCGCAATCAGAAGCAAAATTTTGCGAACAGTGCTGTTCGTGACCCGAATTGGTCGTGAACAGATCGTGACCTGAGGTACCACTGTAGTTGTGACAGTAAACTACCAAATAGCTACCTTCTCATTGCCAAAAGACATCACAAATTGTGAGAACCCTATGTCTCTCACATACTGGGATTAGGGAGAGGACACCAGGAAAATAGTTGACTGCATTGAAGGGGGGGACGAATACCAAGTCGCTTCCCCAAGGCTGGAAGAAGGGCCATAATTAATAAAGACCTAGAGGGTTTCTGGGAGCAGAGGTTTGAGATCTTTAGTCTTCCATTCTGCAGACTTGGCCATCCACTACAGTGGCCTTAATGGATCACAGTATATGAAATAACGATGTACCAATATATTGCACTCCACAAATGAACAACTATTAAGAAAAAGTAATTTTAACACATCTCCCATCTATGTCATACTGATATGACATAATTTAGAACTTTAATCATTCTCATATATATGCAAAAAAGTTAAAACTTGAATGTTATGATGTGATGAATGCTATGATCACAGAGCTACAAATGAGGTGCAAATATTTCAAATTCTAAATAAAGTACCATTTTAATCCATTCAAAAATAACTGGCAATGATTGATATTAGAAATCTTTATGGGGCATTTAAAGAAACACTGCTGCTCAATTTCCATTGCATGCAAGCCCTATATAAATAGATTGTAGAGAAAATTATGTTTGGAAGATTGATCTCAACAGTGTTCAATGTTCTGAGAGAATCACAATAGTTATTCTGAAATAACTGATGAGAAGAAACTGCACAGCAGGAAGAAAAAAAGAAGTTGCAGGTATTTTTGTTTTTATATATACACTGTAGAATTTAAAAATTCCACTCCAGCAATAATACAATAAGGATGGCAAAGAAACAACCAAGTATATACAGTGGGGCAAAAAAGTATTTAGTCAGCCACCAGTTGTGCAAGTTCTCCCACTTACTAAATACTTTTTTGCCCCACTGTTTTTACTAAATACTTTTTTGCCCCACTGTTTTTACTAAATACTTTTTTGCCCCACTGTTTTTACTAAATACTTTTTTGCCCCACTGTTTTTACTAAATACTTTTTTGCCCCACTGTTTTTACTAAATACTTTTTTGCCCCACTGTTTTTACTAAATACTTTTTTGCCCCACTGTTTTTACTAAATACTTTTTTGCCCCACTGTTTTTACTAAATACTTTTTTGCCCCACTGTTTTTACTAAATACTTTTTTGCCCCACTGTTTTTACTAAATACTTTTTTGCCCCACTGTTTTTACTAAATACTTTTTTGCCCCACTGTTTTTACTAAATACTTTTTTGCCCCACTGTTTTTACTAAATACTTTTTTGCCCCACTGTTTTTACTAAATACTTTTTTGCCCCACTGTTTTTACTAAATACTTTTTTGCCCCACTGTTTTTACTAAATACTTTTTTGCCCCACTGTTTTTATCTCATCTTTTTAAGTGGGAGAACTTGCACAATTGGTGGCTGACTAAATACTTTTTTGCCCCACTGTTTTTATAGAAAGCTTTTCCTTTTCTTACATTATTGTGGCTAATAACAAGTGAAATCACTCAATTGACAGGACTTGCTACAGCATTTTAGTGTCTTGAGAACTATAACTAAGAAATTAGTCTTATTAATTTTGAAAACTAAAACATAAAACATAACTAAAACTGAATTTAAAAATCAAGTTAATTTTATAAAGAAACTTGAAGAGGATAATGGAATTTGGATTAATTTCCAAAAAGGTCTAAGACCAAAAAAAGCTACAAATGGTCTCAGTAAATACTCTCATACCTTACAAAGCAAGAATTATTCATCATCTTTTAACAAATAATTCAGGTTACTTAATTGCTTTCTGTAGATAATACAGCCTTCAAACCAAGCCAAGTACTTATAAAAGAAATGGTTGTACGTTTTGTACTGCTAAAGATTTTAGACTACAACATAACTAGCATTAATAAGGCAATAAAATATAAAGTAACAGACTGGAAAGTTTAAGCAAAACTCAGCAATCTACATCTCTAAACATGGTAATATCCTTAGTACATACTTTAAAAAATATACATTCTGGTATTTATTTTAAAACAGATTTTGTGATTTAAAATATGATTAGTTCAGGCTCACAGAAACAGACATTACAAAAGGAAATGACAAACTTCTTCACAGACACTCATTTGCATAATTATGCAAATATTTACCTAGTTGTAGCATTTTATAATGCTATTTTTAATGCTTTTTTTTAAAAAAAAATCCTATGTTTTAAAACAAAACAAATAGAAAATAATTTAATGGTAGAAAATACAGGCAGTCCTTGGTTAACAACCACTTGTTTGGCAACCGTTCAAAGTTATGACGGTGCTGAATCTTACTTATGACCAATTCTCAAACTCCTAGCCATCCCAGCACCTCTGTGGTCACATGACCGCAATCTGGGCGCTTGGCAACCAGCTCGCACTTATGACAGTTGCAGCATCCCACGGTCATGTGATCACCATTTCTGACCTTCCTTGCCAGCTTCCCACAAGCAAAGCCAATGAGGAAGCTGGCAGAGAAGGTTGCAGGTTGCTCCAGTAAGTTCCCCATGCCCAGCAGCAGCCACCCCAGGCCGTGCCACCTTCATGTCACACTGACCCATGTGCCCTCCTGCATCCAGCAGCAACCACTTACCTGCCTGCCAGCCTGTTTGCAAGACACCTGGGACTTGCAACTTCCTGTGGGCTTCCCCACCGAATTTGGTTGTTGGAAGCCCACAGGAAATTGCAAGGAGGGCCTCACTTAACAATTTATGAACCTCTCTTAACGATGGCAACAGGGACTGCAGGGATTGCTATTGCTAAGCAACACGGTCATGTGACATCGCGCTTTATGACTGCATCGCTCAGTGACAGAAATTCTGGTCCCAATTACTGTCATTAACCAACAACTACCTGTATATGTAGCTCAGGGTTCATCCCTGAGTTCTTGGTGTTTCTGAGCTCGGTTGTCTTCTTGCAGATGTTTCATTACCAGGCTAGGTAACATCATCAATGATGATGATGCACTGATGAAGTTACCTAGCTTGGCAATGAAACATATACAAGAAGGTAACCAAGCTCAGAGAACATTAAGAACACAACAGAAAATATTTTGTTTTAATTGCTTGTATTTAAAATGTGATTTACTTAATGCATATTAAAACAAAATGAATTTTACAGAAGTTGCTTTTTGCAAACTCAGGTACACATTGATTATGGTTATCTATTGTTTCTGTCTTGGCTGATATGGTTGATCAAGCAGGAATATTTTAAAGCCACATTGATCACACTGCGCAGTTAATCACATCAAGAAATTGGTGAAATCAGGAGAAAGAAGCAGCTAAATACAGTATCACAGACAAGAACAGTTTATCTCAAATTTGAAGTCAGTGAAGCTTATGCCATGGATACAACATGTCCAGCCTTCCAAGGCCTCTAGGACATGACATAAACTGAAATATTTAGAGAGAACATTTTGAAGTAAACTATTACCCAGTCACAGTTTGTTAACCATCTCTCTACCTATTTGCACATCATTCCATATAAGCATGTTGAGGGAGGAAGTATCCATAATAACTTAATTCTCCGGCCAATAATTACCTGTGAAATATGATTGATTGAGGATTCCATTCTCCGGAGCTGGGAGGCTTGGATATCCAGTAGTTGGAGCACATTGTTGGCCAATGCATTGATCTGGTAAGCAACACTGGCTAAAGATTGGGTTGTATATGCTTTGGTCTCTTCTAATGCTTTCCTTTTGTCTGGAGCCTAAAAAATGAGGCAAAAAAATGAGAGGCTTGTTATTTTTAAAATTCAGAGAGAGATCAAACAAGAATTCTTAATAAATTAATTATCAAAAGACCTCATTATGGATTGTGCAGAAATGAGTATTAGAGAGAGTAAGATATGAATAAATAGCTAGGTACATATAATCTTTTCAAAACCTTCTGGTGACTCCAAAGAAAGTCTCCCATAACTGTATCCCATAGAAATACTTTACAGTTCTCTTCACAGGGAATGAAATGTATGAAACATATATTCTTAATATTCTTGGAGTATACAGTATGTTCCAATCAGACAATTCAGAAACAGGAAAATGTAGTCTCCTACAGAATAGTGCATACCCAGGTTGACAAACTGGCTATCCCAACGGGAAGAAGAAAAAACTAAGCAGTACTGTATGCAGTTTTGGTTGACTATTACAGAAGAATTTTAAAGGCTTTTCTATGCAAGCTAGTTTAGTTCTTATTATTTCTGACACACAGGAACTTATGAATTCCAATACAAATAAAAGTCTATTCAAAGTGCAGCTACAGATACTACAGATAGTCCTTGGGTTACGATGGCAATTGGGCCTGGGATTGCTGTTGCTAACCGATGCAGACATAAAGTGTGATGTCATGTTACCACATCGCTTAGCAACAGCAATCCCAGGCAGTCCCAGTTACCATCATAACCCCAAGATGTGCGGGTTGTAAAGCAGGAAGAGGTGGGAGTCCCAGATAAGAAGCATGGCAGTGCCACTGGGGGGGTGGGGGCAGCCAGGGGAGGGCCTGGGAGAGCCAGTGCAGGCTGTGCATGAGTCAGGGTAGGGCCAGTGCAGGCTGCATGCAAGTCGGGGTAGGGCCAGTGCAGGCTGTGTGCAAGTTGGGGGAGGCCCTCGGAAGGCCGACAGAGGCTGCACACGGGTGGGGTGGTGCTGCAGGCAAGAGAAAAAAACAGGAGTGACTTACTAAAGTAACTTGTGACCTTCCTTGCCAGCTTCCCTATTGACTTTATTTGTGGGATGCCGGCAAGAAAGGTCGCAAATGGCAATCACATGACTGCAGCTCCCTGCAACATTGTAATCATGAGCCAGGCACCCACACACCCGGATTAAAATCACGTGACCACAGGGGTGCTGCAGTGGCTGGAACTTCAAGGACCGGTTGTACATCCATTTTTTCAGCACCACCGTAACTTTGAATGGTCACTGAATGAATGGACATAAGCCGAGAACTACCTGTATGGCCACTAGATCTGGCAGCTTTATAGGGTATTAGGAAATTCACAAAGCAAAGTTTTTTCCACATTAGGCTTAGTTCTGTAAAGATATACAACACGGTGTTCAATTGGTTACTTTCTCAAAATCTTGTTGAGATTCCAAAATAGAAACCCTCTGATATAGCCAATCAACTAGGAAACAATTAATCCAGACCAAATTATCAGGCTGACCCTTGCCATATTCCAATATCCTGGTCTAAAAGATAATAAGGTTTGCTTGCTCCCATAAGGTGAGAAAATAGATTCCTCTCTCTAGTAGGGAGAGCAAACAACATTACCTCTCCTCTCCCCTCCTTATCTAAATGCAATAAAGTTTTTCTTAGTCTTTTGATGAAAGAAAAAAAAACACTATTGTGTGAAATGTGTGCAACTCTCCCAACTAGCCTGAGGGTTTTAAGAGACCTAAGATAGGCATCTCTAACCTTTTATGGCTGGTGGGCACATGTTTCAAGGTTAAAATGTTCCAATTCTGAAATACCCCATTCCAGGCTACCAAAAGTATTCCAACATCGTTCCCACCTTATCAGATGAGTTCTAAACTTTAAAAAAAACAAGATTATTTGATTGCAAAACAAAGTACTTCTAGTAAGATTAGCACAATATCAGGACATTTCTGGGGTTGGAACACTTTAACCTCGCAACGTTTTGCACACTTCTAACTTCGAAAACATAGCCTTCAACAAAGCAGTGTGCTGCACCCAGTATAATTTTTAATTTTTAAGTAATCTGCAGGGTCCACTAACCTAGATATAGTGAGGCAGATGTGCCTTCTTGATTCAGCATCTACTCCCTTGAAAACTTCAGTACTGGAGGCTGGTGATTTGCTTTGCAGTTTGCCACCTTCCCTTTTTTTTTAATTCAAAGTTTTTGGTTTGTTTGTTTTTAATTTTAAAGGGGAATATCTGTGGGCACAATGGGGTCCCTGAACACCATGTTGGGGTCCCAAGATCTAAGAGCATGGAACAAATTGTTATGTTTTTAGAATTGTAATATTCATAATGTTCTTAAATCTTCTGATTATATTTCAGCTGAAAAGAATGTCACTCACAACTGATGGTCATGTATTCAGGAATGTATTTTCAGAATCATTAGTACTGAGAACAAACAGTTGAAACAGAACACAACTAAGAAGCTAAGAAAGGAAGGAAGCACTCCATTTCCTTTTAAAGTAACATTTTATAGCCATAAGAATTATTATTTTGAAGGAGGAAGCATTACTGTTGACAGACTGAATATGCAAATAGGAAAAACTTTTTTTTCTGCTGAGAGAGAAGGTGTACATTCTATGCAAGGAAATACAGTTTTCAGCTGGTGCACAAACCAACTTCTGTATTTCTTGACTTCAGTACTTGCAAACCTAATCCTTAAAAAAATATTCCTTTTTTCCCTTCATCTCTTATCTTCATCCACAATTAAATACCAGTAAATCTGAATAGCCTTCCCCAACCTGAAATCCCCCAGATGTATGGATTTCAGTTTCCAGGTTTCCCAAGCAGTACAACCATTGTTGAGAAATCTGGGAGTTGTTCATACATCTGGATGGTGTCCACGTTTAAGAAAGCTGATCTAGAGGCTGAGACAATAAGATAGACAACAAATGAGGCAAAAAAGTGCTATTAATATTGGTAGCAAAGGGAAGCAAGAGAATGTGTTTGTAGGCCTGATTCTGAAGCAAGATATCATCAATTTCCATCTGTGACTGGCAAAGCAAGCCACGGTTTCCTTCATTAGGTATCTATAGTCATTTCAATTTCTAAACGTAGTTCAATAAAACACTGAATATACTGACTGCAGACCTGCCAATCATTTGAGGACTAGAGAATCTGTAAACTCTGCACTTAGCATTTTTTAAATATTTGCGTTTAACTTTGCCAAGATAAACAAATATTGGTCCACAATCTTTTCATCTACTCTCCAAGGACCCTGTGTGGCCTGGATCACTTGAATTATAACATATGAATGAAGATATAAGGCATGTCTCATACCTAATAATTTTCTCTCTAGGGAAAGGATACAGTTTTCATTTATTACTTTGGTCTAAGAGCAGCTTTGTGCAATCTGAACCCTCACTTGCATGGCTTTGTTTAAATCTACTTAACTACCTATCAAAACATCTCCAACATATGAAAGATCAACACTGAGGCATGTTTACCACTTTAATTTCATATCAAAAGTAACTTTTTACATGTTATTGTATACTTTTTAACGCCTTTGCTATAGTCATTTTCTTTGTAATAGCTCTATCACACCCCACTGATTTAAAAGCTGAACCCTATTAAAATTATACTAAAAATGTAATTATCCTACAATGATGAAATCTAAGCAATGTAACCTCCTGCAAAATATTCTTGTTGGCTCCTAGACTTCTGGCTCCAGATCTTAAGAATGCAGAAAAGCTCCTGGTTGGACACTGCATCAGATAAGCAAAAATCTATTCATGAGTATATTGGAGTTCATATACTGTATTTTTGTCACCAGTTGTGTTTTATTTGTCTTAGTATTTCCAACTTGTTTAATTGTACTGATGAACAATTCTTGTGTTAGAATCCTAGACCTATGTAATCATGTTTGGGCTTACTATTTAAGCTCATATAAGTTTAATTGTGTTGCTTTTTATTGCTTTATTTATTAACCTGGTTATATTTTATTATTTGTTCTGTTTACTGTTCCAAAGCAATTATCTATATAAACAAATGTCTAGGAGTCTCTGCAGGGGTTAGGGGACTAACAGACTGACAAAGCTACCAACCCACACTAACTTCTTTAGAGGCAAAACTGGGGATAAAACAAGTGTACCAGTTTACAAGGGATACGACAATAGGAGCTGCCTTCAACAGATGTGGGCTATTAGCGACTGCTATAACTTCTGATCTTTACAGAGCAACTGATGGGTTCAAAAACTTGTTGAAAAAGTAATGTCAGTTTATGTCTCCTGCTAAACAATCAGCATTGCTCTATTTTACAGCACAAGGACAGGCAACCTCCACTAGGTGGAATTTATGGGAGCAGCAGACCAAACCACTTGGAAGATACCAGGTTTAGCTACCTCAAGAAGAAGAGTTCTATTTGCTTGAAGAGCTTTCTTTTGTCTTTTTAATACCAATTGTCCAAATCAGTTATGTATGCATATTTTTGAAAATCCAACTGGTTAATTTGTGCAGACTAAATAAGTAGTTCATGTCGTACCAGAAACAAAAAGAAATCACAACATCTCTTTTCAAATCTCCTCTCCAAGTAATCCACGGTAGGTGAAAATACATTAAAAACTAACTAAAGGGCAATGACATGATGTTATTATCAGAAGGGGGCAGAGTTTTTTGTTTTTCTTTTACATCCAACAATGTTGTGAGATTTCCAGCTATCAATGTACGCAAGAAAAGATAAAATCTAATCCCGCTCAACCACAATCACCAAAGCAAGAGATTGTAGGCAGAGCCATGTTAGTCTATAATAGCAAAAAATGAGAATGTCTGGTAGCTCCTTTTTAGACTAATACATTTTATTAAAAGGCATAAGTTTTCCTGAGTTATGACTTTTAATAAAATGCACTAGTCTGAAAAGGTGTTACCAGACACCTCCTCATTTTTTGCTACCATAGACTAACATAGCTCTGTACCAACAGTCTCTTGCTTCGGTGATTGTGGTCTCTGATTCAAAGGCAGAGACATAATTGCTTTAGACAATGAGTTTTAACAGCCACTAAAGAGGGAGGTTCAAGGAAGACC